TCTGGCTGGTTTTCCCCATGACGGCATCCATAAGTCTCTTTCCGTCTGACCCAAACTAATCAACCCTGGTCCCTCAACCGTACCATGTATCAATCCTGTTCATGGTCATGACCAGAACACCGTGATAAAACCAATATACAGCACACACACGGACGACATGCAAAGTCCTTACAGGCTACCAGCAAACACTGGGGATCAAACCAGTGACCTTCTTGCTGTAAGGCAAAAGCCCAAACCGCATTTGTTCACTCACAATAAAACAAAATGGCTATTTGTGTTCTCCTTGGCCTCACATTCTTCTTCACCTTCCTGACCCCTGTTGACCCTGGACATTTGCACATTACGTTATTATGTTTCATTACGTTAAATCGTTGTGTTTCCACTGACCTGACCACATATCTTACATGTTCACACTGACCTTTCACTGTGAGAAGTCCAAATGCCATGATTTTGCGCTCAATCGTCTATCTGTTCATCACAAACGCAAACAAGATGAGGCCCACAGCTGATCTCTGATGGATACCTACTCACGTCATGAACCCATCTGTCACTGTGACTGCGCACAGGTTTACACTCCCAGCCTGATGATGGGCGATCTATACACGTCTAAATAGGGCAAATCTTTAATTTATTAAAAAAATGAACCCAGAGACAACAATTTGAACAAAGTTGTTGTTTATTTGATGAGTTTATTTTCATATTAAACGCTTAAAAGTAAAAAGTGAAGCAGAAAATCATTATAAAATACTGCAGACAGATTCAAAGCGTAATAAGAGTAGAAAGAGCATGGTTTCAGACAGGAAGTGATGCCGACACTCTAATCGGAGCAGTTATTTGGCTCCAGGCTTGCAGTGACGGGGCTCTGGTTTTTCAGGGTGGCCTCACAGCTCACCGTGTTTGCATTTCTCCACTCGTCTGCAGTCATTTTCAGGGTGCTGCTCCTTTTGTAGCGGCCGTTCGACTGGAGCTCCGGGCTAGACAGTAACAGCCCCGAGGTGATGGCGCCGCCATTCTTCTTCCAACCCAGGTTCCACTCTGGTGGAAAACCCTCACTGGCCACACATACCACTGTGACGTTGCCCAGCGCTAGCTCTTCTTTAGAGGGAGGGAGGACGGTCAGGGTGGGCTTTACTGTACCCACTAGGGGAGTAAAATAAAAGAGGAGAAAATGGTTAAAAAGAACTCAGTCTTACACCAACAACAACCACAGGGATCAAGACACGCACGAACAGGAAATTGAAGATAAATGATGACAGACATGTTTGTGATTGATTTCTGTTTACTCTGACAGTTACAGTCGAACTTTGTCATGCGTCTCTTTCACTTCCTCTTTCCTCATTTTAATACGATTAAACGGTGAACATCATGTTGTTTTACTGTGTTACTGCAAAGAGCCACATGACATACATGGACACTCTTTTAAAAATATATTTTTTCATCAGTGCGAATTTGGTTTTCTCTAACACCCATCGCCATGAGATTCACATAGTGTTAAAAAACACAAACATAAAATTCGACATGAATGTAAAAGCCGCATGAAACCAGGCAAAGAGCCGCATGTGGCACCCGAGCCACAGGTGTAGCCTGTTGTAGGATTATTTAAGGTGAATAATCTCGTTCTAGTCCGTTCCCAGACAGAGGGACAACCTTCTGACCATAAAGACATTTCTATTCTATTCCAAGACTGATATTATGTTATTTTGAAATGTTTAAATGCAAGAATGCCACAGCCTGGATATTATTCACTTTACAGTCACATGGCAACAAGAATTACAGTACTAAAATATTACTTTTTAAAAAACGCTCAAAAACTTGGTTTATTCCAAATATTTCACATAATTATTTTCTTGCTTCTCTGTTTGAGAATTTTGATAAATAGTTTAAATAAGTATTACAGTATTTTTTCCAGTTTAAAGTAAAACAATAGTTGCCTTTAAATATTAATTAACAACAATCAATAATCTAGGTTACTACCAAATTGCAAAAATATCATGTTACGTTCATGAATTAAATAAAAACTGTGCTATACATTTTTAAAAAACATTATTAGCAACAGTAAATATGAGTATGTCAAAGTAACTTGATAATAGAAATATACAGCTCAAAACAAACAAGGTCAAAAAAGGTAGAAATTAGTATTTTATACGTGATTACAAATGTGCAGTCGCAGTGAAACAGTGTGATCTCGTACTTACAGTTAAGGATGAGTTTCGTTCCTCCACCAAAAGTGAGCCACAGTGGTACAAAGTCATGAAACCGTCGTACAAAAACCTCCCGCACTGTAAACCTGCCTCTCTACACGGAAACATTCACTGTTTTCAATAAAAATACAAAATAATAATTCACTATTATTAACCTGAGAAGTTTTTCAGTTTCATGTTCAATTTATAAATTAATAAAATTTTCTCTCTTTTTTTTGGCTTTTTTTTACTTCAACTGAGAGAAAACTCAGTCAAAATTACATTTAAACGACATTTAATAATTTGCAAGCTGCTGTTAAATGTCTGTAGTTACACTATTGTTATATGATTTATTATACCTAGATAATTAAAATTAGAATTGAACAAATAACAGATGATAATGGGATACCCATTATCCCCCCACAACATTAATGCTGTGTTGTCATCTTTGTATTCACTGTAAGGTGTCCTTGGGTGACAGAAAGGCGCCTATGAAATAAAATGCATTATTATTATTATTATATTACATTTTTAAATGTGTTATACTTATATATTTATAGTATAGTTATTCCTATACACGATAAACTAGAAACAAAAACCACCCATGTTCATCAAAAATGTAAAATTATTATGATCCAACAATAAATCCACTGCTCTCCGGTTGATTAAAAAAAAATCAAATTTAGTATAAATTCCAATGAAGGTCTTCTGGGTTCTTGTCTTCTGTCGAGACGTCGAGTGTGTACTGAGCAGAAGAATGATTTCGTTAGTGATGAGTGAGTTGAGGTGAGGAGGAGGAAGATTCTTTGAATGTTCTTCACACTCAAATGAACGGAGGAGGTTGACGTTTCTGTGGAGTGCTACAGGTGGCTGCAAAATAAGTACTAATAAATACAGTACAAAACCAGGTTTGTATTGGTAGGTATACCAGTACTGAAAACAACAAACTCTTAGACAGGATACAAAGCAGCTAACAGAAAAAGCTAACATTCCACCAGAATAAGACATTATATCTTTATTATTGTTGTTGTTATTGTTGTTATTATTAAACAAAGCCTAAGGCCGAGTTCTATACGAGAAAATCCTTTTCTAAATGACTCCTGACTGCATGGGTATAGCTGATATGGTGATTTTGTTTTGATTTTTTTCCTCGTTGAAGTGTCGTGCTAATAATCTAATCAGGGTGATTTACAGTAACCAAACAGCTTTTGTGGCAAACGGACGTTTCCGCGTTCTTTCTTTTGTTTGGCAACTTTGGAAATACTGCTGTCACATTAAAAAAAAAAAAAACTGAACCGTGACCCGCCCTCTCGCTCTCTTTCTCCTCTTAATCTCTTTAATCATTGTACAGTTTTCCCGTGAATGTTGTCTGTTGGTGGGCTCGTCTCTGGAGCTCCGGCACCCGCTCCTCTCTGGTTTCGACACGGTGAAAATGAGCGACCATCTGAGAACACTGCTGCAGCTGTCCAGTCAACTTCTGTGGGTAGGTGACACTACAGTCTTCTACGTGTAATTACTACACATTTTGGGGGGGAAAAGTCACAGAGAACTCCTGCCTGGACTTCTTTCGCAGAGTGGAAGTCATGTGATCGTCATGACTCAGTAGTGCTGTGAGTAGGCAACACTGAAGACGGGCTGTTGTTTACGTAAGGATTCAGGAAATAGAACTTATACGATTATTCCTAAGATGTCTCCAATTGTGTTGTAACAACACTGACTCTGTGAACACACTGTTCTGGTCAATCATGTCATTGTCATTTCCCCCGGAAAAATATATTATTTGTTACTAATAATATTTTGTTACTAATTCATTATCTTTATAAGAACACTAAGGATTTTAAGTATTTAAATGATTAAAAATATAAATTAAATTAAATTTTAATTAAATCAAATCTAATTTTTCAAAACTAAACCTGTGTATGTGTGTGTGTGTGTGTGTTTTAAACAAATATATTTTTGATGTCTGTATTTGCTGCCAAAAGTCTAATAGTCTGTTATATATGTTCTTTAACAGGTGGTGGGGTTGGTGGTGGGCTTGAGTGGAGGCTACCTGCTGCTGAAGTACAATGAGTACAGCTTGTTTTTCCCTAAGGACGACATCACGATGCCAGCAGTCCTTACTCTGGCCAGCACTGCTGTTCTATTGGTCTGTGGGCTCCTGGGCTCGTGGCTCAGTGTCAAGGAGTCTACTTTTCTGCAGGGACTGGTGAGGTTACCTGTGAACATGTATTAAAAAGCTGTCCACCTGTTGAACACGGCTTGGGTTTGAAGTAACACAACACATTCTGTCAGTTTGTTTTTCTCTTAGTTGTGGTCTTTTGTCTTCAAAGTTCTGCGTCGGCGTTGGCTTACTATCATTCTGGAAAGGTACTCGTGTTACACCGCCACACCACTTTCCCCAATATTATGTAAAAATGATAATGCACGGTTATAGTGTAGGTTCTGTCTTTTTGTTTAGCTGGATTCAGAGATGACTTTCTTGGCTGAGGTCTTTCACAACTATACAGGCAGCAGTCTGGACGACATCTCTCGAGCTGTGGATGCTACACAGGAAAATGTGTGTGAGCAACAATGCTTTAAGGCCCATCTAAGTTTTGATATTTTCATTTAGTTTCTGGCTTCTGTGGTAGAAATATACGTCAGCACCAACAGAAAATACAATACTAGTACTTTCTAGGGGCAGTGGTGGCTTAGTGGTTAAGGAAGTGCACGTGGGTCCGGAAGGCTTCAGGTTCGAGTACCACTGAGATGCTCTGAGCACGGCACTGTGCCCACACACTGCTCTCTGGGCAGCGTAAAGGTGGTCACACCAGTACTATTTACACTACATTTATCCTACTTTTTTATGGTATCAATATAGAAGAAAAGTTAGTTAGAGGAAATGAGTTTGTGTGATGCTGCTTCTGTCTGGGTACTGTGAGCCCTGAGCACCCACGCGAAAGGAGCTGTGCACCGCCGACAATGTCACCATAAAGTGATATGATTAGATAAATGAACCACACATTAAAAGTCTGCAGATTCTTGCACACCTCAAAAAGGTTATTGCATTCCATACCATGAAAAACGATATTGAAATATTTGTAACAATTAATAGTGAGTTTTAGCCACTATCCCATCTATCAACAACCTGACTGAGGTGACTTTTAACTTAAATAAAATATGTATTTTAAACATATGCATTTCTTTTTTTAGGGTTTGCACTGATGTAAGTTCTGACTCTACTCTTTGTTGTGATTGCTACTAGTTGCGCTGTTGTGGTATCACAGGCTACAGGGATTGGAGGGAAACCCTCTGGTTCAACCAGACTGGAGGACACTTTGTTCCTCACAGCTGCTGCAACTCGAGCTTCCAATTCTGCAATGGATCTATTGACAATCCATGGTATCTTTACTCTCAGGTATTACAGCAAACTGTGAATTTGCGAATTAAAAATATGAAAACAGCAAAAGGGTCTAATTATATTTATTCATTTTATACCTTGTAGGGCTGCCAGGTGGCGCTAGAGAGTGCATTTCAGTTTGTGCTGAGTTTCATCTACTGGGGTGGACTAATTGTTTTTCTGTCAGAGGTTTGAAACATTTAAAATACAGTAATATTTGTGTAGGATCATTAACTGCATACTTGTTTCAATCCCTTGCCCAGGAATATTTTTCATTTAAACAAGTCGTTAACTGTTTTATCTCCCATTCTCCATTTGTCTCCCATGCAGGTTCTGGTTTATCTGACAGTGGTGCAGCTAATGGAAGACAATGCCAATATCGAATATCACATACTGAGCAAACACAGAACACACTTCTGTGTTGTGCGCTGATTGTGTAGCTTGACAGTGTGTCAACATACAGCAGGAGTGTTAATGTGACTCCTACTTATGATTGAAGCCATACATGTGACACTTAAGTGTTTTGGAAAATTGAAGTTTATCAAATTCTTGCACATCATCTGTGACAGTAATTGCTGGAAAAATGAGAAAATCACGTTTTATTTGCACTATATCTGGAACTTTTGCTACTCTGAGAAATCTGAGGTGCCAAAGAAAGTGTCTTAGGTGTTTTCTCTTTGTACTGTATTGTATTGTGTTGTTTTTCTTCACAATTTACATTCTCTGATCATTTTGATCAAATTTAATTTCTTCATGGTAAGTGGCAAGTGGAAAAAAACGCAAATCAAAAATCATAAAAATGAATTTAAATGTACATTAGTTTATTGTTTTTTCATTTAATCAAGCTAGAAATGTACGTGAGATTTGCCTACCAAAACAAGACACAAATATGTTACAGCTAGTGTTGGCGGTATCAGAAAAACAAGAAAATGTAAGAAATTCTTATATTTTACAACAATGAAAACCTGAAAAAAATAATTAATAGAACATATAGAAAATAGACAACAGAAGCAAACATAAATAATTTGTTTATTTATTATATATAAATTTAAACTTTAAACTATTCAACCAAGTTAGTCAGTTGAGACTCAATGTTTTAACAAAGTCCTGGCCAAGAAACAATACAAAAGCATATAGAAGAAATAGAACGGGAAAAAACCCATTTACATTTAAAAGTTAATGGCTCAAATAGATGCAAATAGCCACAAATTTACTAAACACATTTTCAAATTATATTCACAAACATGATAATCAGACACTTAAAGCAAGGGGAAACTAAAAAAAAAAAAATCTTAGAAACAATTCCTAAACGCACCTAGGTCACCGAATCAACAACGTTTGGGTCAATATTGGACCTCTTTTGAACTCTCCCGTAGCCTAGGGGGTGTGACCATATATAGAGTAGGTGTAGTTGGATTTATTACGTAATTACGTACGTACGTACCACTTTCCTTTGGTAACCTTCTACGTAATCTTTTACTAAGGGAAAAGAAAGCGTCATAAACGCAAATTGCAAAATACGTAAAAACACAGGGAAAGAAGGCAGGAACGCACGCCGCCTCCGGTACGCTGGTAAGCTTTGCAAATGCTTCAAATGTCTCCAGGACGTATGTGCGAAGGTTTATTCCTGTGTCCGTCACCCACCGCTGTCGGGCTGTTAGCTTTGGCTAACTTAGCCTAGCTTCGCGACCCGTTAGAAGGCCGCTGCCACTTCTACCATTGCGTTCCGGACGCAGGGAAATAAAAATGTCATTTCTAAAATGGTTTCTACCAGCTCGCCATGTAATTAGCGGCAAACAACTGAATGAACGTTTTTCTTTTTTTGTTATGCGAAAACGTTTAGCATTAAAATACTGCCAAGTATTGTTTCCTTTAAGCATGGTGGGACATGTGTTTGACTCCGTCCCAGAGGAGCTAGTTAATCTTTTAATGCTAGTGATGCTAATCTGGCCTAACACGCGTTTTCAACAGCGTGATGTTTCCAACGACTGGGTCGGGACCCACAGAGGGGACACAGTCGCTTTTATTCATATCGCCATGCAACAATATTGTTATGTAATTTGTCATTTAAATATGTTTGGGCAATACAATAAAATAAATGTTTTTTATTATTATTTTGAGCACCAGATCAATGCATTGGCTTGACTTACTGTAGATAATGTCATATTAATAATTTGTGGACAAGAAAATATTCTGTTTGGGGATATTATTTACTTGAGTATTATATTTTCCATAGTCAACCAACAAAATTACTAGCTGATTAAACAACAGTTAACATATCTACAGAACTATAAAACATTTGTGGAGAAAGTATAATATTGGAGTTGAAATTTGAATTTAATCCTGAGTCAGAGTCTCTTGTTTTAGCTTCAGTTCTCTCTAGGAAAATGTTCTTATGAATGAAACTTCAGTCTTTTTTTGTCTGTGTTTGTGTCCAACCACAGCTTCAGGAGCAGTGAAGTGTCTTCATGGCAGTTCGTCGTGGACACATTGAGTATTTGAAAGTGAGTATAAGAGGGATAAATGGTTTCCCCTGCTCAAGTGTTTAACATTCAGCAAATAAAATAATTTTGTTGTTAACGTTCAATATATCAATATAAAAGTCAGGCTTAATTAGAAAAAAAGACTAACTAACTCTGGTGTATATAACGAAACTGTGTAAAGGGCATGGGATTTTGTAAAGGAAATGAAGCTTGTGCTTTTCCCATGTGAACACCCTCCTTCATAGTTCTTGATAGGGTTTTTCACCCACCGGAATACACAATCACTGCCCTTCTCCTGCATGAATGGACCTCTGTCAAGTTCCGTAGCAGACAGCTTCCCATTTCAGCTAACATCTCCCACAGTACACTGTGCTAAAGGGCAAGCAGAAACAATTAGGTTTAATATAACGGACATTTTGTAAACATGTGGTAATTGATTTCTGTGTGTAGTGTTTACTTTTGATTTGATTACTTTTGTGTTCAGCAATAGCACTTGGTTTGTAAAATGCACAGCACAACCTAGGCCGAAGAAAATGTTTATCAAAGAGGGAGAATACGACCTCTGGCCCTTTATTCTGTTGTCTTTGTGTCACTTGGCTGGTTGTTATTCTCCTTGAGATGGGTAACTTTGCTGTACTCAGTGGAATTCAAACCAGCAGCATTATGTCTGTATTTACATGCTATAGTGGCAAAACTGGGTTTTTCCATAAGGAGTTACTGCAGCCAATTCTTTTATGATAGGTGGAAGCAGGCAGTTGTGTTGAATTGTTGTAGCTTTTTGGAAATGTTGATCTGTAAAAACAGACATACTTACTAAACTGTTTTCTGACCAAAATAATTTGCCTGATTAGGACTTGTCTGTCATATATCACAACTTCTGCATCATGTTGTTTTCTACTTTCTCTCTTTTGCTCATGTAGCTGCTTAATATATTTCACATACCATTGACTGTTTGTTTTGAATGATGTTAGGTTCTTGTCTTTGTTGCACTCACTGTACACACTGTATGCTGTACTTGGTGACATAATGGGGTTATTTTGGGTTGCAGGGTGGCTATGAGGTCATGGGAGAATAAATTAAAGGAAAGGTTGCATGTAGGACACTAGTGCAGTTGTGACTGCTAGTGGAATGTTTTATTTGATCGTAATCAGGTCAACTTGATTGGGTTGTCTGGGCTCACAGCTGTAGTTGTTGAAGTATTCTGTCCTTGTTCCCACCCTCTCTCTATCACTCCCTCTCCCTCTCTCCCTGGATACTGCATGTGCTTATCTTTCTTTTGTTTTCGGCACAACTGGCCGAATTGCAGGACGTGTATGAAATGTCAAACGGTTATGAAGACCACATGGGAGGGGACGAGGGGAAGGATGCAAAGACGAACCTGATCGTGAACTACCTGCCTCAGAGTATGTCGCAGGATGAACTGCGCAGCCTCTTCAGCAGCATCGGAGAAGTGGAGTCCGCCAAGCTGATTCGAGACAAAGTCGCAGGTATACTACGCTCTAATGCGGTTCGACATATGACAGACTGGACTGCTGCTTAAACAGGTCAACTGTTTTTACTTTATACACCTGGTTGCAAAAGATGTTGCAGCTCTATGAATAGGTGGACCTATGACAATCTGAAAACAACCGGACTCTTTTATACTGTTTTCACTGTTTCAGTAACAGAGTTTTTCCAAAACAACCCGACGCTGTTAATTGGTTTGTTTGTTGTTTTGAAGCGTGCAATGTTAAGATTTGTTTTGTTTTTTTAATATTTATTTATTTGTTTGTTTGTTTTGCAGATTTTTTTGAACTATACTACGTTTTTTTGTTTTATTTTATTGTTTTCCTTTTTTTTCTCTAGGCCACAGTTTAGGGTACGGATTTGTTAACTATCTTAACCCTAATGATGCAGAAAGAGCTATCAGTACACTGAATGGACTAAGGCTACAGTCCAAAACTATCAAGGTAACGTGCTATAAGGTGTTCTACAATACTCAAACCAAAGATGTCATGTCATATAAGCTTCCTGTGGCTCCGCTAACAAGCTAAAACATATTAGCTTGAGAAAATGATACTGCCTTTACAGCCCACTAACTCTTACCCAATATTTCTGTTGAGTTCCACTTTAATTTTCACTGTTATTTGCATTGAGGGATGAAATTGAATGAACTTAATATTGTTTTATGTTTTTTTTTCATTTGTTTATTGTTTTTTTTCTTGTACTCAGGCATTCTTCATTTAAGTTTGTTCTTTTTTCCATTTTTTAAATTTTTTTACTTAAGGTTTGTTTTAAATTATCAAAAAGACACTGAATGATGAGTGTCAACAATTTTGACACAGCTAATATAAATATCTTGACCAAATATCAACTCCTAGGTAGATTATGTGACATGTTTAGAAGAAGTGTCTTTTGTCTGAAATATCTAAAATATTTGCTTGTCAGAATTGTAATCATGTGATTGGTGCTTCTTGTTTCCAGGTTTCATATGCACGGCCGAGCTCTGACATGATTAAAGATGCCAACCTGTACATCAGCGGCCTGCCAAAGTCCATGACCCAGAAAGATGTGGAGGACCTGTTCTCACGTTATGGACGTATCATTAACTCCCGGGTACTTGTTGATCAGGGTACAGGTACGACAGGTGAATGACTTCCTTGCTTTTTAATATTTTACTTTTTTATTTTCTTTTTATGGAGAATTTATTATATGTATTCTGAAGTGTATTGAAAAGGAAATGGATGTTTTCAACTGTAATAACAATAAACAAACAAAACCACGAGATCATAAACATAGTCCAGTTCCTTAGGAGACACAAATTTTGTCGTCACAACTCTCTTACCTGACAGTAATATGTTAAGAAAAGCAATCTTAAAATCTGAAGAACAATTCGGACAAACAGGAAAACTTGAACCAAATATTCATGGTGTTTATTGATTGCACCGTTCAAAACAACTATATGTTGAAAACAGTCAGATTTCTTTTCCAGCATTTTTAAATTCACTGGTCGGTGACGTGACGTGTTGTTTAATCAGGTATGTCCCGTGGAGTTGCCTTTATTCGGTTTGACAAGCGATCTGAAGCAGAGGATGCCGTTAAAAACCTGAATGGCCAAAAACCACCTGGAGCCGTTGAACCCATGACGGTGAAGTTTGCCGCCAACCCAAACCAAGTCAAGAACACCCAAGTGATTTCTCAGCTCTATCACAACCAGTCTCGGCGTTTTGGGGGTCCCTTACATCACCAGGCGCAGAGGTTTAGGTGAGTGTGGCTTGAACTGAACTCGGTGTAAACTAATTGGTCAAACAAAGTTATCACACAGCCTCTCATTCCAGGTTTTCCCCTATGGGTGTTGACCACATGGGCAGCATGGGAGGGGTCAGCGTCCAAGGGAGCTCTGCCTCTGGGTGGTGCATCTTTGTTTACAACCTGGGCCAGGAAGCTGATGAGAGCATCCTGTGGCAGATGTTCGGCCCGTTCGGTGCCGTCACTAATGTCAAGGTGATACGAGATTTCAACACAAACAAGTGCAAAGGCTTTGGCTTCGTTACCATGACCAACTACGAAGAGGCAGCTGTGGCCATCGGCAGTCTGAACGGTTACCGGCTCGGGGACAAGATACTGCAAGTGTCCTTTAAGACCAACAAGGGCCACAAGTAAAGGGAGCAGGACAATCAGGTGTAGAGGGGTAGGGGTGGAGGTTATGGGTGGGGCTCTACCAGATGTAACTTTAGAGCTAAATTTGGAGTTTGGAAAATTTGGCCCCTCATCTGGGTTTAAGTGTAAAACATGTTAAATGATATGTTCACTTTTCTGCACCTTCTATTGTGTAAAGTTGATTTATTTTGTCGAATTTACATTATATTTTTCCTTCTCATTTATCATCATACTAGGGGCTTGGGTTTTAACATTCAGTGAGAGTACAAACGCCCATGATATCCCAAAGGTAGAGTTAAAATCGGCGTAAAAAAAATCTGAAAAATATTGACTTTGTTAGGGATGGATCACGTTCACATTATAATCGGGGTCACATTTGTGTCACAACCAGAGTTCGCGCTTGTCATTTTGGTGCCATAGATGAGATTATGTTTTGGCGACCCCATTGTAGTTATTGTTGTTTCCTGCGTGGCTTACAGCATCGCTCCTCCAGCAGTCGCATGTGTAACTGGGAGAAATATAAGACTGTCAGGTCACTAGTGCATTAAAATAAGAGACACATTGAAAAAAGGTCTGTGAATAACAGTGGATCTGTCCGATTGTAGTGGGTCGTGTGCTGCTAAGAGTTTTGCTCAGAGCCAGTGGTTTTGTGAAGCAGTGCTTTGTCCTGGGACTCCATCGTGAGTAGATCTGTAGATGCCTTAAACAATCATCCAGAGGACGGACATGCAGCAGCGTTCGGCATCTTCATCCGTCTGAAAAGGAAAGCACTTTTTAATAAATAATAAAATAAATTTGACTTTATTGATCCCATAGTTGGGAAATTCCTGTGTTAATAGCAGAGACGCTGCTAACATGCTGCCCCCAGCAGGCACCAAACATGTGCTTCCTCTGGGAATTTAACCCAGGACTCTCAGTATCTAAGGCAGGTGTGGTAACCGTTACGCTATAGAACCAATGCTGTGGTTTTAGGTGGCTGTGGATATCATCTGTTTATTACCCTAACATTTATCATGCCAGGAGCCCAAACCCTGTAGTTTGGGTTTCGTTGTCCCTGTATGAATTGTTTTAATGTAAATTCTCTTCAGATGTGATCCCCTTTCAAATAATAGATATGGACCAAAAATGGGAAGAGATTCAAACTATTACACCCAGATAATCACAAACTACTTTAAAAGAGGTACTAAGATTTGACCTTTGAGTGCAACGTCGTCGAGACTTCTGTTTTTTTCTCTTTGTTTATTTCATTTTATTTTTCTTTCTGTATTTTTGTTTTTTATGATTTATTTTTTGAATTCTTTTTTTTCTGGTTTCATTTACATATTTTATTTACGTTTTCTCAAGTTTGGAGACAGATCGGTGGCCTTTTCTTAGGGAGTTTTAGTTTTGATTTGTTTTCTTTTCTCACTTTTTCCGTTTGTTTTTGGTTGTTTTTGAACGTAAACCATTAAATTTTCTTTTCTTTTGATGAACATTTTGTTTGGTTTGTTTCTTTTTTTTTTTCTTTTTGGTTCGTTTTACTTTTTTGAGGGAAAAAAAAATCCTTCACTTGGTAAAAACAGGAATAATTTCACACATTAATTTGGATGTCGATATCAGAATTTAGTTGAAAATTAAGGCTTTCTTTAATTGACATGACACTTCCCTTTTACTATAATTTGTCAATTGTATTAGAATGAAACATTTAAATTTTATATTGATTTGGACCAACTGTAGGTCTAGGTTTATTATTATTTAAAGGAAAAAATGTAAATATTTGAATAAGCATAACTTCTGATAATTGTAAACCACTACAGCAGTATATGTATAGTATAACTCTAAGGTACTTCATTTACGTTCATTGGTTGTAAATTGGTGTTTTTAATGTTTACAGTAAAATGTATTAATATCTCTGGCTCTTCAGACAGATCGCTGATAGATTTGACATCAAAAAGAGATGAACTTGAAAGTGTTTAGACTTTAGACCTACTTTGTTTTCTTACTGAGTCTCTAATGTCGATCTTCCGAGATATTTTATAAATTTGAATGCTTTTTTGTGATGTATTTCTCCAATAGGTTGGAAAAAATGTAAATATTTTCATAACATTTAGGCCGCTCATTCTGTCAGATTTACCAGGTTCCACTGAGACCTGGTTTCCAAACGTGGTTCCTACAAAGGGAACGTTTGTTCTTTCTAAGACTCACTAGACCAGACATTGCGTAAAGTTAGTATTTAATAATTCATCATTTACGTTAGTGCAGTTACAGACCTTGGTCTTAAAAGTTCTCTGAATTTGAATTTTTTTTTTCTTGTGGTGTCAGAGTCTAAACTATTTTGTGCAATACTTGGTGACCTGCTCCGAGCAGGAGGAAAGATTCGACAGTTTCATATTTGTTTTTCTACAGATTTTGTCTTTGCAGAATTTAGTGAGACTTTTGAAGAACCATGCAAGTGGATTTTGTTCTAAGGGCAGTCAGAACGAACTGCATTCTGCCTTAATTTATGTGGAGTGTTTAAAGTAGAACTTTATGTCAGAAGGTGCAGACGTTAATGTGATAATGTAAGCAGTAACAGTGTATTATTCTTTTCTTTTTTTTCTTTTCATTGTTTGGTTTGTTGTTTCAATCTTCATCGGCAGTGAGTTTAAAGTTCATTAAATGTATTCTAACATTTCAACAAAATCATGGTGCAATAGTCTTCTTGTAAGAGGACCTGTGAGATTTACCTGAAAGGAAAAGGGTGCAACATTACTCTACGTCACCTGCAGGGAGCGCTGTGATCTTATTTGCTGAGCTAAAATTTGAGCTCAACAGAGCTGTTATCCTTCAACAATAGTAAATTTCAAACTTCGACTACAGTTATTGCTCAAATATTGCTTTTGCATTCTGAGCCACACTGACACCTGAAAAAGGGTTTTACCTGTTCTGTGTAAACTTAAATCGTTTATACTGCCTTCTGGAGGCTGAATGTTGATACACCACGATCTGGTTTTAGTATTTATTTATGCATTATTTCATTAAATTAAATATCGACCAAGTTCATAACAGGTTCCCTACTAGTACAGGTAGAGGGCGCCAAAGGGAAATTAAGACAATATGAGATTCAGATGAAACCTCAGTTTATGAATAAATGTTGAAAATAAAAAAATAAAAAGCCAATTGTAACATTATTTTATTAGAAAACACCAAGGAAAATTTAAGTATCACATTTAAGAAAATGATTTGATCAGAGTAACTAGTATGTAGGTTATGTGTTATATACTCAATGATATTTCAGCTAATACCACAGTCTAATATTTTTAATCTAAGATCAGTTTAAGGCAACACAAAACCATTTTAAAAAAATGAACCCTTCAACAATTTTCCTGTTTTTGTAACAGGTTCCACCAGTGTTACACCAACCATCCTCATGTCCTGGTTCACTACATCCATCGTTCTCCTGTAGGTCTTCTTCCTTCCTGGGAGCTCAATCTCCAACATCCTTCATCCTAAATCCACCTTCTCCCTGCAGCACATATCCAGACATTCTCTCTGAAATGTTCAATCCTAACTGTTCCTCTGCTCAGCTCAAAGTCTCTCCATCGTGGTGACGCCTCAGCACCTGTAAACCTGTGCACTGTAAGTGCATCATTTTCTACTGTATCCAGGGGGAAAAACAATCCAGTGTCTGTAAATATGTGCATTTCCTTCTTCCCTCCATTCTGAGCTGAGATTTTTTGGTACAAATCCGATGACAGAGGATTCTGTTTTTAGTCTCTTTCCTTGTCCTTTTAGCGTACTCTTCTTCTTTGGAGTCACTGAGCCAACCTGGACTGTCGGGCTCTCAGGTTATCGTCCCCTCTTGTAAGTGTCCGTTCACTGTCCATCTTCCTTTAGGTGTCTCAGACTTGACAGAGATTGTAGCAACCGGCCGGTTTCTCTAGCACGGTGTCTCCATCTACCTCAAACATGTAATTGCAGCGTTGAGCAATGAGAGGAGCATCAGATAGCGCCACACTCTGGTTGCCAAAGGAGATCACAGTGTCTCGCTGTGTGAGAGAAAGAAAAAGAAGATTTAGTAATAATAAGTCCATATGAAATGCCCTTAATTCAACCTTTGAACAATGAGAACTTGAACCAGTAATATTCTCTTGGACATTATGGGAGTATTTGTTGATACTTTGATTCCCCAAGATGCCAGGTGACAGGTCATGGAATCGCACTGCATTGTGGGAGATTATTGAGTTTATGGCAGCACTTCTTAACCTTTTTGACCTTGGGGCTGAATTTCTATAGAACAAATTTAACAATTAAATATCACTGTTTAGGTTTAATTCACCTCACTCACTGTTGAGAACCTGTTAATTTATTTTCAGTATTAACCCAAATTTGACAGTTTTATTGATCAATAGTAAAATAAAAGTGTATGGTATAAATGGTTTAAAGTTTATACTATGGACATTTATTTTATGAAAACCATATGCATGTAATGGTCTGTTGGGGCAACATCAGGAATCAGGCCGTGGGCCTTGAGTTTGACATATGTGCTTCAAACTAGGCAAGGTGATTTGTCCAGAGATCGTCCTTCTCACCCGTTTGGGGTTGCCTCCAGTGTTGGCAGCGGTGGTGACGGTTGCTGCAGCAGCTGCTCTCTCAAAGTCCTTCCTGCAAATGTGAGCCATAATCCCTGCAGCCAGGGCGTCACCGAGAACGTTGATCATGGTCCGGAAACGATCGCTGACGAAGAGAGGAAAGTCGTTCCATCAAGGTCCGGCAAAGTATGGGATCTAATGTGATGAGGTATTATATGATTGTTTCAAACCAACTCACAGAACCCAGTCGATGGCCACGATCAGTGAGATGTCAGCAGGAGGTAAACCCACAGACGTCAGGACAATCACCATTGTGACCAGACCTGCTTGAGGAATCCCTGCTGCCCCGATGCTGGCTGCTGTGGCCGTGATGCTAATGGAACATGAGCAAAGATGTTGAATATAAAAATTGGTGGATTTAGGTCATTTTAGATGTATGTGTTAAAACAGGCCTGGCTGTGTCTTCTCACCTGATGGTCACCAGTTGACCAAAGTCCAGATCATACTCATTGACCTGAGCGATAAAGATGGCGGCCACAGCCTCGTACAGAGCCGTTCCATCCATGTTGATGGTAGCTCCCACGGGCAGCACGAAGCGAGCGATCTGTCGATCCACACCGCAGTTCTCCAGAAGACACTTCATGGTGATTGGTAAAGTGGCTGAGCTGCAGAGGACGGAGCATACAGATGAAGTACAAAACAAAACAAAATATATATATATAATAATGTATAAAAATACATACATACATACATACATACATACATATATATATATATATAAATACATTTCCTGAGGCTCCATACCTAGATGACGTGGCCAGTGCGATGACAAGAGCCTGCAGCAGACCACGGATATAAGGGAAGGGGTTTTTTCGAGTGAAGAAGAAGAAGAAGAGAGGCAGCAGGATGAGGCCGTGCACAAACAGACCCGACAGGACCGTGATGAAGTACATGCCCAGTTTCTCTCCCAGGTGAGCCGGGTCATGCATGTCCAGAACTTTTCCGGCCACGAGGAACACAATTCCAAAAGGAAAATACCTGCACAGAGGAGAACGGAGGCAGAGGTGACGTTAGGAGAGCTGTAAAGCCTGGTCACATTCAGTCGTCTTCTAGGCCCTTTGGGTTAAAGGTCTAATCCATTAAGATTATTCCTTTAATTTATGAACAGTGACGTACACCTGGGACCTGAACCTATGTTCAGTGGTTGAGCACCACACCTTTTGACCCCACAGCCACAGGCGGCTATTCCCACATGTGTAATCCCAGATTAGTTGGTGTGACTGCAGACACGTCTGATGGCTGTGTGTTGTTGTTTAACTTTTATATTTAGACGTAATCCAGCTCTGCTGCTTGAGCTGTATTTAAGTCTTTCTTTTTTTGGTGTGTATGCTTGACAAAGTGTACTTTTGTAAGTGTGTGTGCATGTGTGTGCATGTGTGTGTCTGACTGTGTCTCACCACATAGCTGCGTTAATGATCTTCATGACGCACTCGTTGATGCACTGGCACACGTTGACCAGCGGTGCTCCGCGCTCGCCCATCTTCCCCAGCAGCAGACCTGAGATCAGACGTCACATGTGTTAATAATCCGGATCAGACTTAATCACCTCTGTGTCTTTGTCTATACACTTGAGTTGTTGGAAATATATCAACGACTAACTATAGATAGATAGATATACAGCACGGGCGTCAATCATTCTGGCCTGCTTCATAAATTTTGAATGCAAAATAAAACCACAAACAGGTCATGTAAAATTATATTTGATTAAATATGAATATGTTCTAATGTACTTGTACTTGCTTGCATGAAAAAAGGGTAAAAACATGAACTTATTATTATTTATGGGTAATTATGTGATGGCTGTACTATCTAATTAGGCTGCATGTGTGTTTTTTTAAGATCTGGTTGATGCAAGAAATCTTTAGTCCAATTTGGTTCTATGGATTCCTAATCAAAAAAAAGTCCAAACCGCTCAAGGAAGTTAGGATAAGAGTTTTGTCTCGATTGTTTTCAAGTCCGAGTCACTAGACACTTATACACACAAGTCTATAACAAGTCAATAACAAATGGATAGTTTGAGTTACTATCCTATACAGAGCTGAGTTACATGGGTATACACAGTAGACAGGTGGGTGGGAATATAGTTTATAGATGCTGCCTGAAAGGAAGGGAGATTCGGGCCGTGACAATGGTCTGGTTCTCACCCATAGTGGCTGAGAAGATGACGATCCCCAGCACGTTCATGCCTTTGCTTGTACTGGGCACCATCCTATAGTTGACGTCTGGAGCGGGTGTAATCTCCAGGAAGACCGGGTGGCCCAGTCGTGGGTTGTGGTAGTCAGGCATGACATACACAAAGTTGGCCTGAGTATCTTTGATGTTAGCATTTTGCACAATAGGAATCAGATCTGTGCGGTACTGAGATGAGAGACAGCAATGACAGAGATGGGTTACCTTTTTTTCAAAACGAGTAACATTGAGTTTGAATTACAGATTTCTGACAGTTTTCTCGTCATCTCACCTGCTGAAAGGTTGCTTCGATTAGATTCGATGGAATCATGTTCCTACAAAACAAAGAAAGACACTTAGCAGAGGCTAATTCAGCAGATGTTTTTCACAGGATAACTGTAGACTTCCATTGAATTGAATTGAATTGAATTGAATCTGATGCCTTACAAACAAACTGAGACACTGAACAGCCCTTGAATAGGTCCCTTGCTGATGCCTTACAAACAAACTGAGACACTGAACAGCCCTTGAATAGGTCCCTTAAATAGACAGGTTTAAGGAGAAGGTATTAGTGGATCTCTGAATGGCTTTGCAGACACACACCTACACACACACACACACACACACACACACAGACATAATGCTTCTTCTGTGAAAGTGCCAGATTAACGGTTGACGATTAAGTGGCTTCTTGTGTCAGGCTGATCTGTCGGCCATTATGAATTAATGATATATTGTCTCTTTAACGCATCGCTTATTTAAACAAACCTCTTATTTTTGTATATAAAGCACTGATGCCAAACCCCAGGATCAAGGTCATCCATTAAGCAACAGGATATCCATCTTAATCATCCATTAAGACTTTGTGTCATTTAAGGCTAAATGACACGAAGTCTTAATGGATGATTAAGATGGATATCCTGTTTGCTAATTTTCTTGTTTTTTGCTCATTCTTCTCATTGTATGACATGTAGTTTGGTTAATATTTTTGCGTTTTTGTTGCTAATTTTCTTGTTTTTTATGTAGTTTGGTTAATATTTTTGCGTTTCTGGCTTACGGTAACACACTTTCCTAATTATTTATTTTTAAGTATTTTCAGTCAACTTTTATTTGTAATGTTTGAATAGCAATAATAATAGGTAAGATTATTAGGATTTGTAAAGTGACAGATTTCGTCGGACTAATTATTCCCTTATTGACATTTATTATCTTAATTCTTTAAAACATATTGTTCAACATGAGGGACGTCTGCGATGACCATTATTTATTTTATTTATTTATTTATTATATATTTCTCACCTGATGAGGTCCAGCAGAGCATCAGCGGACGTCATGACGGGCCCTGAACTTGCATGATGGCCGTCCTTCTCTGAACCTGTGCCTGGGTGAATGATGAGCACCAGTATGATGCCAACAATGACAGCAATGAAGGTCGTCCACAGGTAGTAGGTGATGGTCAGGACTCCCAGACGGCCGCTTGCTTTTGTGTCCATTGCTGACAGGCCGGACATCAGACTAGAAGAGAAGAGGTCTTGGTGTCAGCTACATGTCCTGAATCACTGGTCTTAGATGGTTCTACAGGTCAATGACAGGATATGACGCAGTAGGTTCAATATCTAGGCCATGGGCAAGCTAAGGCCCGGGGGCCATATGCAGCCCGTTGAGCTTTTTAAACTGGCCCGCCAAATTATATAATTTATTTATATAATCATTATAGTTCTGCCTTTTCTCTGCAATACCGCTGTTTCCCCAATAGATGGTGTAGAAAAAGCATTTTAGCATCCTAACCTTTATGTCTCACCTTGAAGTGATGAGCGGCAGAATCAACATCTTCAACATCCTCATCAGCAGCTCTCCCGGGAAGGAGAAATAGATCTTGGCCTGTGTGTGAGAGAGGAAACCACAGTCACCTGAAGTGACAGTCACCTGAAGTGATATGTAAATGTGGCAGGAAACTTTTTTTAGCAAATTTGATCATTATATTTCATTATTTCATACATGCTGAGTTGACACAAGCAAAGAATTATACCGAAAATTCAAATGTATTCAACAAGTGGCCTGAAGATGGCAAAAAACGGCCAGGGAGACTTTTCGTAATTTTTGACCACTGTGTTTCCTAAACACTATCGTCTTTAAATTAACAAAAAAAACAAAACAAAAAAACCCCAACAAAACTCTAAGTATATTTTTATTTCTTTTTCTAAACTGTAACAATTTCTCCCTCTGCTTTTCGCCGCTATTTTTTCGATATATTATCGATACTTTTCGATAAGAAACATACAGTAGCCTAAAGGCTATTTGCACTCATTTTACATTGATGTTTCTTATATTGTTGATTGTCACTGCTACAGCTACAGGAAAGAGAGTGTAAAAGTGGAGATCGTCTACCATCCATAAAGGACACGCCGTACTTATTTCCATACCTGTGTGGACAGGTTAAGAGACCGAAGGACGAATCCAAGCACGCAGCCAGTCACCACAGCAAAAACAGACAGTGTTAGAAGGCCGTTCCTCTTGCAGTAGTCCTTCACATACTCCCTGATTTTCATGGAAACAATGGTATTTAAGATATTCTTCAACATCTCCATCTTGAATCAGGACCTCACTGAGTCCTCGTCTAAGGCTCGAGCGAAGACTGGCGGTCCAATCTCCTGCAGGGCACAGATCAATTCCTTTAAGAGGTGATTGTGATCCTGTGTGTGTCCTGCCTGACTGTGGTGAGACTGAGGAGGCAGGAGAGGACGTGACTTAGTGATTCCTGGTACGATGTGATCCCAGAGGATTATCTCTCTTTCTCTGCACTCTTTCACAGTGACTCGGGCTGAAGAAGAAGACCAGGCTTCACCTCCGGTAATCTCCTCCATTCACTGACCATTATGACTTGTCGTTATTGGCCCCTCAGTCATTCCATTCATAAAACAACGTCTTCTGGTGTTGCTGGTTCAATTATGCACAGTTGTGAGAAAACTCTGCAGATGTGTTAAATAGTGGGTCTGGGACACCCCAGGAGGCCCACAGAAGTACAGAAGACGGTCATGAAATATTTGGATGGTTAGATTCGTTTACATATTTTCCCCTTTCTTCTTGAAAATACAAATATATTAACACATTAATTTTTCAAACAATTTGCTGTTTAATGCACAACAACAAAGTCGGTTTCTGTGCACATGGCACCAGGTCCAGTTTGATATAAAGGACTTTATTATATATATTACATATAATATAGAATACATATATAATATATTATGTATTATACAACATAAACATTAAGGGTGTCTGCCCCATCTCTTTATCAGTTTTGCTTAGTTGACAGTAAAAATAAAAATATACTGAATCAAAGTATTTAGACGTAATAACTATCTAGAAAACTCTCTAGAAAAAGTAACATCAGCAGCATGAAAAAAAAAAATCTCCACCTCGAGATTCCTCTAAATCTGACCAAATTGTGCTGGATTCTCGATTCACACCTTAAGCAAATCTATTTGTTTGGAGACGGAAAGAAGGAGTAAAACACAAAGGTCTGGAGACGCTTAACAGCGTTTACAAAGTGGAAACTTCGCTGTGATGGTGTGAAGTAGAAAGTACAAGCCTGTATTTTATTTCTGTCTTTGCGTCCACTTCACTGCCACAACATGTGTTGCTCCCTGTATGAAGAAACAGTGAGGTCTGATTGGACTCCCACTGTTTACAAATGACAAAGGTGAAGCATGCAGGAAGGATTAGCTCGTAGCAGAGGACAGTATTAGTCCTGCATGTCCAGGACACGCTGACTCCCGTCCCCTTATCTCACTGTGACGCAGTCACAGGCTTAAACGTCACTGCTTTTTTGGCAGCTAACTAATTCCTTGATGACCTACCTCAGTCGAATTTTCTTTTCAAAATATATATCTTTCAGCCAAAGTTACGTTTAAGCTCTTTAGCACTTTTGTATTTGGCTAACTTTTGGATTGCCTTATCATTTCTGATACCAGCTGTTGTTGCTGTTTGTTCAACATCATAAAAGTAACTTTTTTATGTTATACCAGTGTTTGTCACACAGTATATAATTTTCTATACTGTAATCTTTTAGGTTTGCCTGTTATATTGCTAAGTATCAGTTGTTTGTAGACTCATGTTTGGTGATCATTAGGTTAACTTCCAGCTAATTGGCTTAATTATAAGTCAGTTAGCCTACTTTATCCTTTAATTAGACGAAAATGTATTTATATATTTCTGTTTGGGTGTTTTATGAAGAGAACTTGATATTTTGGATTATCATTTTTACTTATCTTCCTGTAAGCTAACTTGTATTATTTATATTTCAATAATAAGGCAACGTTGAATTATCAGCAAATATAATATAATTTCTGTTGCCGTCTGTTCCATGTGGTCATGGGAACTCTTCAGCGCCTCCTATTTGTCTGCAGATGTCACACTGTCCACACCAACAGGGATCAGGTCCAAACTTGACTTCCCTCTGAGTTAAAGTCAGCTGTCACCAATCCAATCACTTTTAATCCTGGTCTTCAACAGTGAGATCAATGACTGCAGGAGGGAAAATAACAGATACGATTATTAAGATTTATCTACAAAACAGAAATGTACAAAACTGGTCTTATTCCCTGTTTCTCATTTAAACAATAACACATTTGTGAACACTACTAATGAATGAATTAAGATGAATTAACAATATTAGCAGAAACATGACGAAAAGTAGTCTACTTTGACCGTCTGATGGGAAATCTGTACTTACGTTGGATCCTGAATT